CTGAAAAAACAAACTATCATAAGGGCCATAAATTCTATAAAAATAATTAGAAATTACTTATAAAAAAAAGCTCCATGCATTTATATAAGAGCACCTAATTTTGAAAATAGGCCCCTAGTTTTGCTTCCCCCCCCCTCTAGTTGGGGTGTCTAGCCACGGCTTCGCTGATCCCAATAAAAGATGTAGACGATAATTCGTCCGATTTTTTTTTTCCGTGAAGTAGCCTAAACTTTCCGCTATTGAGTCAGAGAAAACATCGTCTTTAAAAGATGTTGACATATTGTCATGAAAATCTATTTGTGGTTGTTCTTGTACGATTTTTATTAAAGACTAATGTTTTCATTTTGAGTCTGACTGTCTTTTTTACAAAAATAAGGTGGAAAATTTACACATTCTATTTACCTTTTTTTTTATTTGCATTCCTTTGCAACTTTTTCAGTTTTTTATTATGCTCTTTCTCAGTCCCACCTTTTCTTTTTTGATTCATATTAAACTAAATAATTTATAGGAATCAAAAAATACATATAAGTAAATACGAATGCTTAAAAATACAGTAAAAAAAAAAAAAAGCTTGAAAAAAGCACTTAATTTTTATTTATCAGATAAAGGTAAAACGTTGCATACTCCAAAATTTTCTTTTTGTAGCTGTATTCACTTTTTTTAAACCAGTTCTATTGGTTAGCAATTGGTTTTTATTGGTTCTACTGGTTTAAAAGTTGCGGGGTAAAGCATAAATGGCGATGACGTTTGTCTGACGGGATAAACTAATTATAAGTGCCGATCCTTATCGAAACACCATTAATAATAGACGTAGTTCTGAAGAGATGTTTATTACTTAATTACTACACAAATTATGTTTACACATTAGCATTAATGTTTGTTTTTTTTTGTTTTTAGGCTTTTAATTGTTGTACAACAATTGAAAGCATACTTTTTATTTTGTAATCCATTTTTTATTATTAAGTTTTTGCTTATATATATATATATATATATATATATATATATATATATATATATATATATATATATTTGTATATTTTGTGGGCCTCAAAAAATAATATAAATTGCAAAAATGCAATATGAATGCAAAAGTACATAAGTTATAAGAATTTTATAAAGCGTCATGTATGCGCTAGCAGTGTATCTAACGAAAAAAACTTTAAAGAATCTAAACATAACTAATCACAATTAATAAGAAAAAAAATGCAGAAATCAGGGCCGTGCAGAAGGTGAGTCACCTGAGCAATTTGCTCGGAGCCCCGGTCCTTATGGGGGCTCCCAAACGCGGTAATAACATTTCGGTTTTTTTTTCCTTCTTTTTTTTCCTCATCAAGAGCTTTAAGTTAAATAAAAATGAAAATTAACTATGAAATAGTGCTTTACACTTTTAATTTTTATATCTTACCTATTACAGTTTAAAAGTTGTTGAAAAGTATATTATGGCCAACAAAAAAAGAATAATAAGACCAAGGAAAAGAAAGTATGCTTAACTATGGGACAAAAACGAACAAATGACCTCGCTATTTTGAATATTGAATGTCTATTAGCACAAAATCTTGATATTCATGATGTGATTGAAAGTTTGGCAAATGGCAAGAAAAATAACATTGTAAGAAACAAAGCTGGACTATTTAATTATACTTATATACCAGTAATATAATCAAAAAATTTGAGCAGGACTTTTTTTTTTCAGAGTAAGGGGGGTGGGTCCCCAAACTGAAGGATGCTTTGGGCCCCCAAATCCTGTTCACGGCCTGGCAGCAATACTAACCAATGAAGAAAATAATAATAATCATGGCCGACGATACGGATTTTGAAGTGCCTTCTACTTCGTCTATTTACAAAACAAGTTTATATCTAGAATTTTCTCTAAAATAAAAGAGGGTCTTAAGAAAAAAAGTTGGGGGGGGGGAGGAGGATCGAAGGGCTGTGTGCGCACATTATTATCAGGGACCTGATAATAATGTACGTATGGAAACTGCTATTGCTATTCTGCTGTTAATAAAATAATATTCTTATTAATGCATACCAAGAAAGAATCGTAAATAAAGTTTTATGTTAAAAGCGGTACAGACGAACTCTTCTTTAATTTGTTAAAAAAAAAAAAAATCGAATTCTGCGCAAATCAAAACGGTTTTGCGTAGAAATAGCAGCAAAATAATAAAATATAATTTCGGCGTTAATGAATTGAAAAAACTAAGTTGAGTAAATAAAAAAAACAACACATTAATTAAATACTAATAAAATTTTATTCATTAAATACTAATAAAGTTCGTTTTATATCAAACCTTAGAATAATTATTACAATAAAGATAAACAATATGAAAACAAATAATATGCACAAAAGTTATAAAAAATAAGACAAATGTACACTAAAGTAATTATAAAAAGAATGTACAATAGACAAATATTAATAATAAAACCACTATTAAGTATATTTTCACTATTAACTGAAGTTAGAAGCAGGGTATATATTTCCCGCTAAAAATCGTCACTTTAAAGGAAACAAAAAACAAACATACCTTTTTACAACTACATACTGTGAAATAATAAAGCTTTCCTGCATACCAATGAACATACGTTTAATTTATGTTATCTTTACAATATGTTTTTATTTATTTAACTGATATTGATAATTATTTAAGATAATTATAAAGAAGTTAGATTAAAAAAAAAACAACAACAAGTTAGAGTTCTTATAAGGAGAAATAAGATTGTAAAGTATAGATAGAATTTGATAAACAAATATCGCTCTGAAGATTTTTTTTGCGTTTAAATAAAAATCAGTTGAAATTTTCAACTGTGATTTTACGTTATCATAGGTCTACTAGATAAAATCGTTTTCATAGGTCTACTAGATAAAATCGTTATCATAGGTCTACTAGATAAAATCGTTTTCATAGGTCTACTAGAGCTATGAAAGTAAATAGTACATGGCGTGTTTTTATATATATATAAAGTTAATTTATCAATAAAGTTAATTTAATTATTTTTAAAAATAATTATCAAATTATCAAAAAAATTAGTGGTTTAATATTTCGTCTTTAGTAAAAATTGAAAATATCTCAACAGCAAATAAAAGCGAATACTATTTATTACAAAATCTCTGATGATATAATAAAAGTGTAAAAGTCCTTAGTTTGTCCAATCTTTACTGGGGACACCATAGCAGTACTGCTATGACTTTTATGTTACTATTTTTTTACTAGCATACACATACCCAGTGGGCAAAGGACGTAAAAAAGGCGCCTTTTGAACATTCGAAAAAACGTCTTTTTTTAAGTCTCATGCTCATTGGTTATATATGTGGTATCACCTATGTCGTACATGGCATAGCAGTGAAAGTCAAAAAAATTTTTCGATGGAAGCTTGTAGTATATCCCACTTTACACATGTGTCATAGACAACAAAAGTAATAAAACAATACACATCTTACAAATAAAATATAAATTTCACGTCACTATGCCATTATCTGACTTCAGAAGAGCTCATTTGAAAAATTTTATATTGCTCTCCTGAAAATGTTTAAATTTGACATATATGCACAACAGATATATATACACATACATACCTATATATATATATATATATATATATATATATATATATATATATATATATATATATATATATATATATATATATATATATATATATATATATATATATATATATATATATATATATATATAAGTTATTGTATTCTACAAATAGAGTGGTCAGTGTTCTTAAAGAGCAGAACAATAATAAATTAGTAAAAACGCTTATCTAATTTGTTTCATCAACAACATGTTTCACCATCAGTAGGTTCATCGGGAAGCTTCCTGACATTAGATAAGTGTTTTTACAAATTTATATATATATATATATATATATATATATATATATATATATATATATATATATATATATATATGTATATATATATATATATATATATATATATATATATATATATATATATGTATATATATATATATATATATATATATATATATATATATATATATATATATATATATATATATATATATATATATATATATATATATATATATATGAAGAGTCTATGGGAAAAAATGACATAGTTACATTTAAAAAGTTTTAAGAAAGTATAAATTAATCATTTATAAAAATCTTTGTATAAAGATAGGTATAGATAGCAAAAAAACGAAGAGTAATGAATAAAAAGATTGCTGCCCCATGCCAAACCCTCAGTCGATGTAGCAACACTCCCCTGCAAGTCAGGCTATTTGTCAGTCTATGTATGTACTAAAGCCCCCAGCAACAGGCTATTTCAGTATGACATCACACTGTTAACCTAAATTAGCAGTATAAGATATATATGTATATGTGTATATATATATATATATATATATATATATAATATATATAAATATATATATATATGTATATGTATATATATATATATATATATATATATATATATATATATAATATATATATATATATATATATATAGACATATATATATATAGACATATATATATAGACATATATATATAGACATATATAAATTATATTAGTGCATTCTACAAATAGAGTGCTCAATGTTCTTAAAGAACAGAGCACTAATAAATTAGCAATAACAATTATCTAATTTTTAGTTGTCTTCAGCAGCATGTTTCGCTATCAATAGCACCATCAGTAGGTTCATCAGAAAGCCTGATGAACCTACTGATGGTGAAACATGCTGTTAAAGACAAATAAAAGTAAGATAGGTTTCTTTTACTAATATATATATATATATATATATATATATATATATATATATATATATATATATATATATATATATATATATATATATATATATATATATAAATATATAAATTTGGTGGTATTTTATAAAAACATAAAAGACAAAAATTTAAGAGATTAGAGACTTAAAACTTAAGATATTATACAAACTTTTATTAAATCAAACATGCTATGAAGGTATTTTATATTAGAGATTATAGATAATTTATAAATTTAAATTTAAATTTTTAATATATTATAAAAAACTGGTGTAAAATTTTAAAACTAAACATTAAAGATATAACTTAAAACCAATAGTCTTTAATCGCATTTTTAGTTGTTTCAATATTTTGTTGACCTACTAGATTTGCTGTGCCAACAATTTCATCAGGTTCATATTCACCCAAGAGTGACATAATAACAGCATAAACTCCATTGCAGAGATTCTCATTATTATAACCTCCTTCTAAAAACAGGGCAGTTTTAGATATTTCAAGCAGACGAGTTGTCATCCAGGAATAAGTATTGATTGATACATCAAATTCACCAAGTGGGTCGCCTCGTGCAGCATCAAATCCACACGACACCAAGATCAAATCTGGTGCAAACTTTCGTGCAACTGGTAGAACAACTTCTTCAAATGCAAGTTTATACTCACACTCACCCATTGGTGTCTCATCCCAAGCAATGTTAATATTAAATCCAAGGCCTTTTTTTTCTCCTATGTATTCTGCTTTTGCTTTTTCCAAATCAGGATAAGTGTAATATCGATGCAATGAAATATACAAAACACTATCATCATCATAAAACATATCTTGGATTCCATTGCCATGGTGAATGTCCCAATCAACAATCAAAATTTTTTTAGCACCTTGCAACTGTGCATATCGAGCAGCGATAGCAACATTGTTAAAATAACAAAAACCGGCAGCATAGCAAGCTTCAGCATGATGGCCTGGGGGTCTTATTAATGCAAAACCACTATCAATAACATTATTTAAAACAGCTTCTGTAAGTTGCAAAGCAGAACCAGCTGATAATAAAGCAGTTTCATAAGTTTTTTCGTGAATATAACTATCCCATTTGTCATCTTCAAATTGTAAATTTTCTACTTTAATATCTTTTATTATATCAAATTTTGCAAAAATACTTTCATGATCAGTAATTTTTGCATTTTTAAGCCTATTAACATACTCTTCATCGTGAACTAATGTAAGTTCACTGATAGTTGCAGGTCTTGATTTAATATGAACAAGTTTATCAAGTACATCCTTCTTTTTTAAATATGCATATGGCGCAGATACTCGATCAGGTATTTCAGGATGCATAAATCCACGTGATAGGCCACGAGGATGCTGGTGCTGTTGAAATGCTTCATCATAAACAATACCAACTTTTCTAGAGGTCATAATGATGTTTTATAAACAAATTTGGGCGCAGGTAAGCCTTTGCTGACAGATCTTCATTGTCAATAAGGTAGGGTTCTTGTACTAAAAATAGAATAAAATATAACGCAAGTCATTATGGGATGGATTTGCTAAAAACATTGCCAAAGCAATATTTTATCTGAATATAACCCAGTGGGCACGGAGATAAAAAAAGACGTCTTTTAAAAGTTTTGGACGTCTTTTGAACGTTCAAAAGACGTCTTTTTTTAGGTCCGGTGCCCACTGATAAGTTGAATCAAAACACGAGACGTATTTAGAGGTGTACCGGATACGATATCCGGCCGGATATCCGGTTGAAATCCAAATAATACTAGCACAAAGAGGTTTGAAAAACTATTAAGAATTATTTAATAAATACATTTTTTTAGGGGAGGGTAATTTATCTTTTAAGTAGAAATTTAATTTTGAGAACTCTAAATCAAAATGGTTTACCGACACGCTGCTAAATGGGCTCTAACATGATGTTTTTAAAAGTCTCAGATATGACATTATCAAGCTTTGTGCAAACTCTAAACTTAAGTTTTTATGCTTCCATAGAATGAAAGTGTTTTGCATCAAAAAATCATGGTAATTAGAGCTTGGGAACAAAAATAACCTTAGAGGTTATTTTCTCAACCACCTATCCCAAATGCAAGGGAAATCATTTAGTTATTTCATTACACTATGTAATACTCTAGCTAAATTCATCAATAGGTTTTAAATTTCATCAATTAATTTATGTTCCAAAGTTATGACCATGTTTAATTTATTACCCCTTCAATTTGGAGAGGGGTAAAAACACAGTCATAACTTTCCAACAATTTTTTTAAGATTTAAAATGATCGAAATTGAGAATTTAAAGAATTTGTTTTGCAAAAAAATTTTCTATCAAAATAATAAAATTTTTTTTTTTTTTTAATGTTTAAATTTTTTTTTGCTTTTATTATATTTTTTTGAAATTTCATCATAAACTTTTTTTTTTTTTTCTTTTTTGATATTTTGTTATAGATTTTTTCACTCAATAAATTGTCTTTATTTAAAATAAAAATTTTGAAAAATATTTTGGAGTAAAATTCATGAAAAAGATGGCCAAACCATTTACATATTTGCTGCCTGGACCTTGCTCTTACTTTGCATTTTTGTCCTCTTGTCCCTACCCCTTATACATACTTGTACACTTTTAGATAATATTTAAACATTTTTAGATAATGTCGCCTCCCATACCTGCATACATACTTTATGAATGCCTCATAAATTAAATCATTAAATTCAATGAAACAAAATGTTTTAGAAAGTTAATAATACTATCAAAGAACATTACAAATAAAATTTCAACAAATGAGTAAATGCAAAGAGTCATTCTATTTTCCTCCCATTATGGTGAATAAACAAAAGCATTTCTCCTGTTTTAGGCAATAACCTAGATCTCTTTTTCTCATAGATATTACCATATTCTGAGAACAATCTTTCAGAAAATATGGATGATGCAGGATTGCATAGATATTTTGAAGCAATTGTTTTTAAAAGAGGGAATCGTTCTTCTTGCATCCATGTCTTTATTGGACAGAGTTTTCTGTCTACAAATGGTTCAGAATAAAACTTTTTTATTTCTTTTCTAATCAAAATCTCATTTGATTTTTTCTCTAACTTTAATTTTTTAAAAGGTAATGTTTTTTCAGATGTTGCATTTATAATTTCTTTGAAACATGCTTCAAGAGTGTCTTCTTTTTCAGTATTAATTGAAAAATTTAATTGTGATGGTTCTTCATTTACACTAAAATCTACTTCTTCAGAACAAACAAGAGTTTTTTCAAAGGATAAAATTTCATTTATTAACCAGTACTTAGCCTGTTTTTTGATATCATCCTCAAAGAAAGAAAACTTATATCTTGAATCAATTGAAGTAGCTATGACATAGTACCTATTTTTCAAAATGTTTAAAGACATCATTTATTTCAGAAAAAAATCGATTTTTTAAAGAAGTTGTAAGCCGATTCTTTGTTTCTTGAATACTTAAATCAACTTGACATTTTGACATAAATTTCTTTAATGAGCACATATTTGGAATTACAGAAGACAAAGTTGTTATTTCTGAACTCATTTCCTGAGTTAATTGGAAAAAAGGCTTTAACAGTTTAATAATGTTTAATATTAATGTCCATTCTAATGTAGAAAAGGGCATTAAATCAGAACGTTCTGCTGAGTATAGTTGAACTGGAATTTTTAACTTGTTTAATCTATCAAGCATAAGATAGGTGCTGTTCCATCTTGTTGGGACATCTTGAACAAGATAAAGAGGGTCGAGATTTTGTTGCAGCTGAATTTGTTTAAAGTTGTTACATGCTAGAGATGAATGGTTAAAATGAGTTACAAGTCGACGACATTTTGAAAGAACGTCAATTACAATATTTTCACTTATTGAATCTGAAACAACTAATTGAAGTAAATGAATAGTACAATGGATTGCAGGAATTTCAGCTAGGTTACTCCCACTTATCATGTTGCTTGCACCATCTCTTACAAGAATATGTCGTCTTTCAGCTTCAATTTTCCCGCTATCCCACATACTTTCTAACTTTTTGGATATGTTTATTCCAGTATGGCTTTCAGAAAAATGAGAAGCATCTAATACCACATCAAATCTATTAAAATCTTTATCTATGGAGTGGCTAGACAATAAAATAAATGATTCATGAGAAATTGGGCATGTCCATATATCTGAAGAAAAGCTTATGTAATCTGTTTTTATTAATTTATCAGAAATTTTATTATTTAACTCCATGTAAAGTTGAGGTATTACTGTTTTAGAAAAAAATTTTCTACTTGGCATGCAATATCTGGGTTCTAAATGGTTCATTAAGTTATTAAAACCTGTATCTTCAACTAAAGTAAATGGCTGGTTGTCTAAGGCCATCATCAACCCAATTTTACGATGAATAGTTTGCGACCTAGAGTCATTAATGCTCCATACCTTTTGTGACTTTAAATATTCGTCTATATCGAGTTTGTTTAGAAGTTTCCAAAGCAGTCTCTTTTTTTACTGTAGTACTAGTTGAAAAAAATTCTGGTGTGATTTTATTGACAGCCTGAGCTTTTCTTTTCTGTTCATTTTTATTTCGTTCTATATGGTATTCTTTTGGGTGAATTATTTTGATGTGGTTATGCAGAGGTGATGTGCTAAAACATTTTTGCCCAGCCTCCATAGTTCCACGTTTAATCATTTTTTTACAGATATTACAGTTTGCATACACATCACTTGCATCGTTTATTTTATACAATGACGAGATAAAGCTCTGCATTATTATGTTTGTCTGAAATATAAAGTTAAACGTGTTCTCAATTGACATTAAATATTTAACTATTTTAGTATAATAGTTAAATATTTAATAAATATCTTGGTATCAAATGTATGTGTATAATAATTATACACATACATTTGATACCAAGATATTTATCTGTATTATACAGATGGTAATTTTGATATCTATACAGTGTGTAAATACTACATTGAAATTAAATTGCATTGTTAATTTTCAATGTAAACATTGTTAGATTCCAAATGCATTGTTACATTGTAAAGAAAACAATAAACATAACAAAAAAATTAAAGTAATGATACATAGTTTGGAAATTTAGATAGCAACCTAGTTTTAAAGTTATTGCTACGTAATAAATTGTTAATAAATTTTCAAACTACAATAAAAACAGATAATCCAATTATGCAGACAGACATGCAAAATGTAATACAATTTTTTTTTTTTTTTGTGGATTTACACACTATTTCGCACATTCCCAATTTGACTAAAAACAAACATCAAAACTAAATCCTATCCTAATTTTCAACATATCCGGTATATCCAGCATATCTGGCCGGATATGAAATTTTAAATCCGGCATATCCGTATCCGGCCGGATACATGAAATGCTATATCCGGTACACCTCTAGTATTTAGGATGTTTAAAAACGTGTTAAAATGTGAAGAACCGCCGAGAGTTTTATGACGCTCGAGGCATAGCAGCACTTGAACGCTCTACAATAAGTTTGAATATTTCTTATAGGAATTAAAAATATAAACATGTACATTAGGACATCTCATACTTTTCAAAAACAAGTTTTTTGTATTTTTATTTATTTTAACCCATCAATAGGATTATATATTATCATCAATAGGATTATATATTAGGAAATAGAATATATAGTTTAAATAAAATAGATAATTTACAATAAATGGTAAAAAACAAGAAAAAAGACAAGCACAGTAATGTCTGATTTAATAGGTATACAGTTTTTGAAAACATAATTGCTTTATTTTAAAATTATGTAAGATATTTTATTAGTACATTATTTTAATAATATAGTAAATATTAAGTCATAAATAATACATTTTCATCTCAAAAATTTGATCAACAATAACATTGACATTAAAAACAACAATATTGACAAATATTATTTTTCAAATATTATAATCCAATATATTTAAAATTAATATTAATTGTTTGTTATTAATCGTATATCTTTTTATAATAATATCGATATAATGTTAATATAATGTTATTATTGCCCGAAGGCAATCATCAGCCGTTAATACAAACAAAAAACGTAAACAAACCATTACAAAAACGTAAAAATTACTGTAGAATGACATCTGACGTTATAAACAAATCTACGTAAAAAACAAATCAAAAATCAAAAAACAAAAAGCCGTTATAGTTTACTAGTCCCCTGTGTCAAATAAAGATAATAGGAATTTTTTTGAATGTCGACACTGAGATACGAGTTCGTTTTTTTTATTCAGTAGGTTTTTTCCATTATGCGATAAAATTAAATATTTTTCGTCGAGACAAAGGTGGCATATTTTTGTTGCTAGATTGTAAGGTTTACAACGTTTGACAATTTTCCATTCTATAATGGGCTTTATGCTTTGGTCTTTTAAGCTCCATATTTCCTTAGATAGTTCTGTATCATTTCTATATTTAACTGATGCAAATGATTTGAGATGGTTTGCGTATCTTAGTTTAAATGGTGTATTACTAATGCCAAAATATACTTTTTTATTACGATCATGATGACTGAAACTTACAGTTGCTTGATAGACAATATTGTTAGATAAACATTGATTGTTCAAAGGGTAATAAACAAAGAAAAATAAATAATGAATCACTCGCCACGTTTCGAGACCTCTTACAAGAAATAAACTGGGAACTATTGACTGATTGCAATGACGTAAATAACGGCTATGAATTTTTTATTCACGTGTTCACTAAGCAATACGAAAAGGCCTTTCCAAAATTTAAAAAAATTATTAAACCTAAAAGTTTGCTTAGTCCGTGGATGACGAAAGGACTCATTAAGTCGTCAAAAAAGAAACAAAAACTTTACCAAAAATTTCTTAAAAAAAAGAACTACAAAAACGAAATAAAATACAAAAAATATAAAAATTATTTTGAAAAATTAAAAAAGCAATCAAAAAAAAATTACTACTCTTCATTACTTAATAAAACATTTGGCAATGCAAGAAAAACTTGGAATGTAATTAAAGAAATAACAGGCGTGGGTAATGTAAAAAAAGACAATTTCCCAAAAAGATTACAAAGAGATGACAATTTAGGTGATGCTTCTGTAAATAAAGAAATTGCAGAAACATTTAACAACTTTTTTATAAATATAGGAAAAAAACTAGCCGATGCAATTCCGGAGGGAAAAAAATCTTTTAAATCCTTTTTGAAAAAATCTGATTTCTTCATGGATGAGTCAGAGCTTTTGATTGAAGAACTTCGGCAAGCGATTAGTATGCTTAAATCAAATAAAAGTGCGGGTCTGGATGAAATTAAACCTGATGTTGTAAAAGCTGTCTCTGATATCATAGAGAAACCCCTTTTCATAATTTTTAATCTATCCCTAAAAAACGGCATTTTTCCCGACCAACTTAAATTAGCAAAAATAATTCCAATATACAAAAGCGGCGATGACTCAATAATATCTAACTATAGACCGATTTCCATACTTTCCTGTTTTTCCAAAATATTAGAGCGTATTATGTTCAACAGGCTGTACAATTATCTTGAAAAAAATAATATTCTTTATCATAAACAGTTTGGTTTTCGAAAAAACCATTCTACGGAACATGCCGTAATTGATCTTGCGAACCAAATTTTACAAGGTTTTGAAAACAATTGTTACACACTTGGAATTTTTCTAGATCTATCAAAGGCATTTGATACTGTAAACCACAAGATTCTTATCTACAAACTACGTAGTTACGGAGTAGTTCACTCTAATTTAAAGTGGCTTCAATGTTATTTAGAAAACCGTAAACAAGGTGTACCATATGATCTAACATGCTCCCCATTTGAATCAATAAGTTGCGGAGTTCCACAAGGATCAATACTTGGACCTTTATTGTTTTTAGTTTATATCAATGATATTTTTTTGTCTTCAAAAATACTTAATTATACTATTTTTGCTGATGACACTAATGTTTTCTTTTCTGACTCAAATTTAAAAAATATTTTTTATTATGTAAACGCTGAACTAATATATCTTAATGAGTGGTTTATAGCAAATAAACTATCATTAAATATTGAAAAAACTAAATATATTTTGTTTGCTAAACCATCTCAATCCGAGAACCTTCCACTTAAACTTCCAGAACTAACAATTAACAATATTAAAATAAAAAGAGTTTTTTCAATGAAAATACTAGGAATAAATTTCGATGAACATTTAAATTGGAAAAGCCAAATAAAGTTAGTCGAGAACAAAGTTTCAAAGACTGTGGGGATTATGTACAGGACAAAACATCTTTTGAATAAAATATGTTTAAAAAACTTATACTTTTCATTTATACATAGTCATATTAACTATTGTAATATTGCCTGGGCAAACAATCATTCATCTTTCCTAAAAAATATTTATACTAAACAAAAGCAAGCAAGTCGATTAGTTTTGGGCGCAGATAGGTACGAAAGTGCCAAGCCGTTACTCAAGGAAATTAATGCGCTAAACGTATACGAACTAAATATATACCATAACTTGTTATTTATGTTTAAACTTCAAAATGAACTAATTCCAAAATATTTTTATAAAGGTTTCTCTCTAATTAACCATAAATATGAAACAAGACACTCAATAAATAATTACTACATCCCACCAACATCACTCAAAAAATCTGACTTCTCAATTACATGTCGGGGGCCACGCTTGTGGAAGTCAGTTCTTGACGAAAATATGAAAAAAATAAAATCTATTGATATATTCAAAAAAACTATAAAAAAGCACTTACTAAACTCAAACATTACATACATTCTTTCATTTTTTTAAAAATAATATTTTTTTGATAAATTTGATAAAAAGCTTTTTTTTTTTTTTTTTTTTTTTTTTTTTTTTTATATATATATATACATATATATCTTTCTTGTTTGATTTTCTCTTTGACTGTTTTTTTTTTTAACTTTTTTTAATAAATACTAACAAATGAATTTAAATCTACATAACGTTTGGAATCTTTTTAATATATAAATATTTTTGAATATATACTTCGCTTTGTATTGAATATGTATACGTATATGTACTGATTTGTAAAAAAAAATTCAAACTTTTTAATTTACGCATTGTATACATTTTTATTTTTTTATTTCGAGATTTTATTATTATTATTATTATTTTTTTTTTTTCTTTCTAATTTTTACTTTTTTTAATTTTTAATTTATTTTAAACTTTTTAATTTTTTTCAATCTTTTTACTTTATTTCAAACTCTTTAAATTTTTTTATTTTTATTTTAATTTTGTTTGAATGTTTGTTTATTTTTTCAAAATTTTTAATTTAACTCTTTTTTATATTATTGGAATTTTAGAAATTTTATATTTCTCTATTTCACAAAAGGGCTTGATGATAAGACTTTATGTCTTCTACT